GGGGGGGGGGGCGGGGGGCTGGGCGTGGCCTCCACAGGGGCTCCCTGCTTCAGTCTGCTCCTGTGAGTGGCTATTTGCCCTGCAAATGTTGACTGGGCTGGAAATGCACAGGTGTTACCACTACCAGGTGTCAGGCTGTAGGGTTTATTGTATCGTCTTTTGGCTGGGGGGGGGGGGGGGCTTGGCTCAGCGCATGCTGGGCTGCAGGAAGCTGACCCTACCTTAGCCTCTCAGGCTAAGATGTCCTTCTGTCCAGGATTCCTTCCGGAAGCCACGATCTGCTTCCGTCAGTCAGTACCGGGCAACAGAGCTCCCGTCCTTAGCAGCCTTAATTCTTGGAGCTGGGCTTCACAGGCCTCAGCTGGGGGCCATGGATGGCAGCCTTGTGGATTCGGCTCCTGTGTGCATCGGAGCAGGTCCAGCAGAGGTCAGGGCTGAGCTGGGGAGCTGCCAAGTAACGGGCGTGATTCTAGCCGGACTCGCTAGCTCAGGGAGTGTGCGCGAGCACCAGACTTGCCCCCTGGTGTGAGGGGAGAGGCCCAAGAACCCACTTGGGCAGCCCGGCCATTTCTGTGCTGTGGTGGGTGACCAGCTGTTGCCCATTCCGGAAGGTGCTGAGCCACGCGGGACCACCCTGAAGACACAGCCTGCTGCCGGAAGGACATTCCTCCCGGAAGATTGGCGCGGACGATCGACTCGCGGTCCCGGGAATTCCTGCTCAGGTAGCACGGCCACCGTCCCTTTATGTTAAGGGAAATGGTTGGCATTTTACCCATGACCTGAACTGGGGGAGGCAGAGTCAGGCCTGCTCTGGTAGGGACTGGAAGGGGTTGGGGAGGGGAGGACCCGTTCCAGCAGAGGGTCCTGACCCAGGCCAGGGCAGTGGTAAGGGGCTCTTCATAGGCGTCGAGGACTCGGTTTGTACACAACCTCGTGGCATCATTCATTTCTTTCATGGGGGCGGGGAGGGGCAGGTTTGGGGGCCATAGGCCCCCAGCCCAGGACCTGGACGCTCTCTCTGGCAGCTGACAGGTTATCAAACAACTTCCTCCCAAAAGGTTATGGCCTCTTGCTGTGCTCTGCGATGGGGCCACCACACCGGTGCGCTCGCTCGTCGTTGGCTGCTGGCGCTGAGCATGTCATTAGGAGTGCTTGTTCCCACTTCAGAGCAGCCTGGGCGGCCTCCGCCCGTTTCTGCACATCTCCTCCAGTCTCCCCCAGAGGACCAGCGGGCAGGGAGGGGAGCTGCTCCTTTTGAAGGATTGTCTCCGTACCCACCGTGCACGTCAGAGGTAAGGGACACTGTCTCCTGGCAGCCCTCTGCCCCTTTCCAGGGTTGCTATAAGATTCTGCGTGTCAGCCATAATGCCCCACCTCAGGTGAGCCACAATAATTCTTAGTAAGACACCAATAATCAGGATGAGAAATCAGGGTAAAGACCAGGTTGGTGACCAGAGCACTGTAGACACACACAGGCACACAGCCATAACTTATTTTTTATTTTTTTTGTCGGTCGTGGGGCCTGACTGGGCGCTGTCCCTCAGCTCTTCAGCTCAAGGCTAGTGCTCTACCACTAGAGCCACAGCGCCACTTCCGGCTTTTTCTGCTTACGAGGAATCGAACCCAGGGCCTCATGCATGCAAGGCAAGCGCTCGACCACTGAGCCACCTTCCCAGCCCACACAGCCGTAACTTAGCCTTGAAAGGGCAGTGTTTCACAGGATGCCGCGACCTCCAGGGACAAAGGCAAAGTCCCCGCAGCAGTGCCAGACCCTGGGCCTCGTGCTGGGCCTGAAAGCAAGCTGTCCTTGGGAGGAGCAAAGTAGATGAGCAGCAAGGCACAACAGAGGGGCGAACATACAACAAGCCTGTCTACCCCTCGCGTCTGTGACCCGTGCAAGGGCCCGCCCAGGGCCCGGACAGCCATGAGCTCCAAGAAAGGTGTCCCTCCTGGTCCTCAGCAGGCGGTGCCAACAGTTCCTAGTTAGGACAGGGATGACACCCACGAGGAAACCGACGCTGAAGAGGGAGGCAGACAGGAAGGGAGGGCTGGACCCGAAAGGCTAGGTTTCGGGAAGAGCGGGAAGAGGTGAGGCACGCTTCAAGCTCCCATCTCTCCGTTCCCTGCGAGCACACGATGCTGTGCAACGGAGAGCTCGCTGACCTCCAGCCCCAGGAGCCCCTGGCAGGGGCTCAGACCAGCCACCCGAGAGGCGGCAGCAGCAGCAGCAGCAGCAGCAGCAGCAGCAGCAGCGGGAAGCAGAGGAACTGACAGTGTTGTCAAAAAAAAAAAAAAAAAAAAGAATACAGGTGGACCTGTTGCTACAATGAGAAGTACAAGTTTTCATGTCAAAAAAAAAAAAAAAAAAAAACCAACTCTCCCAGCTGAGCTATTTTAGAATTCCACCCACCCTCGGGGCGGCATCCGGTTACCACGGCAACCTCGCAGGTACACACTCACTGCGCTGCCTCCAGCCAGAGGCCAGAGGAGACCAGAGGAGACGGCCCAGCCGTATCCTCACCCTCCATCCAGAGGAGGCGTGGGGAAGGACCCTGTTCAGACTGCAAAGCAGTGACTGCGTCCACCACCACGCCACCCACCCCAAGGAAAAAAGGTTACTTAAAAAGACAGCCGGGCGCCGGTGGCTCACGCCTGTCATCCCAGCTGCTCTGGAGGCTGAGATCTGAGGATCCCAGATCAAAACCAGCCCGGGCAGGAAAGTCTGTGAGACTCATCTTCAATGAACCACCAAAAGGCCAGAAGTGGAGGCATGGCACTAGCTGTAAAGCACTAGCCCTTTGTGAATAAAAGTACAAGGCAAGAGTTCAAGGCCCTGAGTTCAAGCCCCAGTACTAATCGTCAAAACTAAAGGAAAAAAAAGGAGGCCTTCCCAGGCCTCAGCCCCTGGCTCCACCCCGGGGGCTCAGTTCCTTCTGGGCACCAGTCCCTGGAGTGGGTGCTGCCTGCCCAGTACTCAGTATCCAGTACCCAGTACCAAGCTTTGTCTGGACAGACCTGTCCTCACAGCTGAGGGTGCCTGGGTGACCCCGATGGCGGGCACCCCAACCAACGGGACGTCCGGCAGCTTCGGAACCCGCTGTGTGTGCCGCTGCTGCTGGCGGTGGCTCATTTCCGAAGCCCTGGCCCATGAACGTGGGGAAGAGCCGGAGTCACCAAGTCCTTCAAGGACATGCCCCAATGGCCTGACTTCCACCCGCGAGGTCCCACACGGCTTCGGGGCACACCCTGGATCCAGACTAGCGCAGAACACCCCAAAGGAGGTGGGGGGAGACGCAGGTCCTCCAGGACGGCCCGCGGCGCCGAGAGCCCTGACTACACGGCTCTGTTACCTTGCAATCAACCCTGTGACAGATACACTCAGACACCCACGTCACAGCCCAGCGTGGTGTAGGCTTGGGGCAGCCGAGCCGCACAGACCTCTGCGCCCCCAGGGAGGCCCCACCACCCACCCTTTGCGCCCGTGGGCCTTCTGGGTCCATGCCGCACACCGATAGCACAATTAATATCTGTTAGGATCATTTTAATTTAAAAAAATAAGACCCAGAGTCTCTGGGCAATAAACTAAAATACAGTAAAAACCTTGCCGCCATACAGTGGCTGCTTCCCTGACAGCCAAGCCTCCAGAAGCTTCCGCAGGATTCCAGAAGTCCCTCCTGAACGGAGGAGGAACCCGAGGCACCCAGGTGAAGGGACTGGCGTGAGGTCAGACTGCACAGAGAGGTGCTTGGAGTTTCACCCGCAGGTCCGGCGACCAGCTGGGCTGCCGGGGGCGGCTCTGCGGTGGCTGCCCCGCCCCGCGGCCCAGCTACCCGGCCCAGCCCTCCTGCCGGAGCACCAGCCGCACGGCCTCGCCGACGTCGCTCACCACGTGCGCCGCCTCCATCAGCCCCGGGCTGAAGCCGAAGTCCCGGTGCCCGTGGTACGGAGGCTCGGAGCCCACGCCCAGCTCTGCGGGCCCCAGGTCCCGCGGGCTGTACACGCCGGTGCACACCAGGATGGAGGTGACGCTCTGGGCCGCCGAGGGCTGCCGCCGCCACAGGCCCCCGGCCCCCGGCTCCGGCGTCCGGCCCCGCCTCACCATCTGCAGGTGCCGGTGGAACAGGTTGGCGCCGTAGATGTCAGACATAGGGTTATCACTGCAAAGAGGAGACCCAGGCTCAGTGTCACGGTGGAGGATGGAGGTCGGCTGTGGGGCCGGGTGTGGGACGGTGATGGAGACCCGGGGGGAGGGACTGTGAAAGGGGGGCCGGAAAAGGGGCGCGGAGCTGCCTGGGCCTCACCCCACGGCGTAGAGCTTCCGGATGGGGGCGGCCCAGCCCCGCCGCTCTGCCTGCTGCCTGATCAGGTCCTCTGCGTACTGGTAGGTAAGGATGCTGGGTTTGCCCATCAGGCCCTCGTATCGCAGCTCCTTGCCCGTCACTTTCCGGTAGATGGTTTCCAGGCAAAGCAGGAAGGTGCCGTGGCCAAACCTGCCCAAAACGAGCTCAGTGGCCTGGCCCTCTCCGCCACGCCACGCCCTCGGCAGGCCCAGACCCCCGACCCAGGGCCCCGGGACTGTGAACCGCAGCTAAATTACTTGTAGGAGAAGCAAACATTAATCGAAGTCTTCTCGCACAGGAACAGTTTTTAACAGCTAACTTTTGGGAAAATCCTAGTCACTGCAACTCAGGAGGCTGAAGCAGGATTATGAACTAAAGGCCAACTGGCTCACACTACTCAGGAGGCTGAGATCTGAGGATGGCGGTTCAAAGCCAGCCTAGGCAGGGAAGCCTGTGAGTCACTTTTTGGTCAGTTGTGAGGCTTAAACTTAGAGCCTGGGTCTGTCCCTGAGCTTTTGCATGCAAGACTAGTGTTCTCCCACTTTGAGCCACAGCACCACTTCTGCCCTTCTGGTGGTGAACTGGAGACTCACGAAGTTTCCTGCCCAGGCTGGCTTTGAACTGCGATCTTCAGACCTCAGCCTCCTGAGTAGCTAGGATGACAGGCATGAGCCACCGGTGCCCAGCTTGAGACTCTTACCTCTAATTAACTACCAGAAAACTGGAAGTGGGGCTGTGGCTCAAAGTGGTTTGTGTGAAAGAGCTCTGGGACTGTGCCTAGAGTCCCATGACTGACCAAAAAAAAAAGTGCTAGAAGAAAACCCGTCTCCACGAGATCACCGAGTCACGAGACCTAAGGCAGCCTTGGGCTCTGCCACGTTCTCGTTGACCATGCTCTCCACAGGCCTCCATGCAAGGGGAGAGGCCTCCGGAAGGCTGGCTGCCACCGGCCTGGAGGGCAGGGAAGGGCAGCCGAGCAGGGAGGAGGCCTGTTCCGAGTCCACCGGCCTTGTCCACTGGGCACCAGTGCGTCTACAGCGCAGTGGTTCAGGCTGTCCCTGCCCTGCATCTCAAGGGTAACTGCTAACGACGGACAGGCTGAAGGACAGGAGGGACAGCATGTGAACAATTCACGCTGATACACCTCAACATTTTCTGTGAAGGGCGTAAGGACACAGCACACATAATCCATTAAAGGGCCCGTCCCTGGAGGCCCCCCAACCCCAGGGGCCAGGCTAGGGTGGCAGCTGTAGAGGTTGGAGTAACAGGTGGGAAGCTGCCCGCCCGCACGCGTCCCGGGCAGCAGCTGCCCGTGGATGGGCCCAGGACCCGGTCGCGGCCTCACCTGGGCATCTTGGCTTCCGCCATCCACAGGAGGTCCATGTTGCTGGCCAGGACTGGGAGGTGGGGGTAGGGGACCCTCGGCGGGTCAGCCCCCGGGCTCCCGTTGCTGAGAAGGACGTCCATGATCAGCTGCAGGCTTGTCTCCCAGCGGACCGGCTCCCCGAGGAGGAGCACCCCTTCAAGGCAGAGGCCCAGGAGTGAGGTGGGCAGGGACACGGGCAGGGGTGCCCAGAGCCCGGGGAACACCGGCCCACCGGGGAGCACAGAGCAGGGAGCACCCCAGACCCATCTTCACTCGTGTCCACTGTAGTCACAGACAGGCCAAAACCTGAAAGCACCAAGTCCCAGCGGCTTCCTCCTATCCCTGGGGCTTGGTCCCACAAACCGGCCTCCCCCGTTCACCACTGAGGCCCAGGGACCGGTGCAGCCCATGGGCAGAGGGCCCGGCCTCCCCCGTGCACCACTGAGGCCCAGGGACCGGTGCAGCCCATGGG